GAGAGAGAGAGAGTCTTGTAGGGTAGGAGAGAGAGAGAGAGGGTCGGTAAAAGTGGCATTTACGTTGGGTATATGGTGTAGTAATTGCGATGGGGGTGGTGCTGCTTGGGATTCCTCCTAATCAAACCACCCTCCCTTCTCTCTCTCTTCTGCAACCTCTCAATAAATGCTCTGATACACGCAGACGCGTCTTCGTTATTACGTTCATGCCCGCCTTGCATGGTGACAAGCTTTCAGTTAATGCTAGCCCTAACCCTAACCCTAACTCCAATCAAAATAACAATAACAATAAAAATACCACTACCACCACCACCAATTATAATAATAATAATATACAATATTAATAATATTATATAATAATAATAATAATAATAATAATAATAATAATATACAATATTAATAATATTATATAATAATATTAATAATAATAATAATAATAATATATAATAAAATAATAATAACAAATAAAAAAATCGTAACAAAAATTTATTTATTTTTTGGATAAGGTCAATAATATTGTTATTAAGGTGGAGATCTTAGTAAAATTAATATTAACAATACCAATAATAATTATTATTATTACAAATATTGGTTCTTTTTTTTTCATTATTTAATAGTCACAAAGCATGAGATAGTGTTCATAATGATTTTCTTATTTTTACCATTGTTTATATTGATACTATTATTATGTGACTTTCATTATCACTATCCATATGGTTAGCTGTATTAATATTAGTTTTAGGATGATTTGAGTCTTAATCCAAAAGATGCACATTGCTTAGTGCTTTTCCAATATTGGATCCTTTCATTTTCTGAAGGCTATTCTTCTTGCCACCACAAGATTTTCTATTTTAACATTTGGTTAATCCTTTGATAAGAGACAGAGTAACCTTGGATTTTTACTTGCACACCGGGTCTTTAAGAGAGTCATATCTTAACATTAATTATTTCTAGTAGTTTTCCTTATGACTACTGTTGTTGCCTTTATCCTTCTTGTTTTCCTTTAGGTATTGTTATTACTACCACAAATGTTGTCATAATACGATTTTTGCTTTTATCCTTCTTTAGTTATTGTTATTACTACGTTATCACTACCACAAATGTTGTCATTACTGCTATTATAGTAGTAGTATTGCTTTTATCATTTTTGTTTTTCTTTAGTTTAAATTTTTTAAAATAGTACAAATTTAATATATCTATAAACGGGTTATGATTTCATGTAACGGTTGTATAGAAATATATTGCAACAATCTTCAAAAAGCATTTTAGGGCCATTTTGTTTGATCCAAAATTTAAAATATACACTCTTTTCATTCTAATGAACAATCACAAAAAAGAAAAACTTCAAAATGCAACCTAGAAAGTATCTCTTTAACTCAATTAACATAGGCCGTCCATTTTGATAAATGCTTAGATCTAGGCCTTAGAAGGATTCTTTGTTTTTAAATCTTTGTAGATGACTTTATTATCATTAAATGAGCAATATTAAAAAAAAAATGATTTTGAGTTTGTAAAGGCTAAGATCTTGAAATTCACCAAATGAATGATTTAGATTTGTTGTTAGAGGGGACTCATTTTGTCCATATCTAGGGTTCAAATTGAACCTTTTTTTTTTAATTGATTATTGAGATGAAAAGAGTGCGTGTACAAAATTTTGGGTCATACAAATATCACAAATATGGTTTTTTAGAAGTGTGGTTGCATTATACTATGATACAACCGTTGCATTATATCACTACCCATCTATAAGCACTTCAAAAATCTTGAAATATATGGTCCAAATAACTTGTTACAAACTGTTTTTAGGACTTAAAATTCATTTTTCTTTATAAGATACATCCCAAGGTAGCAGTAGTACAATAATAATCATAATAAGGGATTGAATACAATGAGACCATTTACCTTTGATAAGGTGGTTACAATTACATATAACCATCCGATGAGAAATTTGATAGCATGGATGTGTCATAAAGTTCTAAAAAACTTATTTTGAAGTTTGTGCGTAGTCAATAGAATAATTGCTGCTACCCAATTTAAAATAATGTGACCACCTTGTGCCAAAGGTAAATAGCCTCATTCTATACTTTCCCTATCAACAACAACAATAATGATGACGATGATGATGATGATGATGACAACAACAATAACAACAATAATAACAATAGGTTCATGCTCAAATTTTCACTCATTTACATAGGTGCAGGTGGAGAAAAAAGGTGCAATAGGCAATACATTTTTCCACCCCTAATCTTATGAGTACCATTAATGTTATTATTATTATTATCATTTCTAATATTCCTTTAATATTATTATTATTATTATCATTTCTAATATTCCTTTAAATCCTTTTCGACCCATGAAAGGGCCTTGCTCAATTATTGAGTGGACTTTCTCTCTCTCCCTTTGTCTCTCTCTTACAGTGGGTAGTTGACTCTGGTTTTCTTGGTCCCTTCCTCGCCTTGTCTTTAATATTCCTTTTATAAGCCATTACTATTGATATGGATATTAGTGTTATTTATTGTTTGTTTCTCCTCCATTTGCTATGCTGAAAATTTGATTTTGTAAGCTTGTTGTTGGAGAGATGTATATGAGGAGGGGCCAAGAGTGGATTTATTGTGAAACGGTGCAGCCATGAATGATCACACAGGCTTTTTGGCAACCCGTGGGAATATGGCCCTGTCTCTCTCCTCCCATTTTGGAGTTGCTTTCCAATTAAAACCTCATTCTCTCTCATACGTTTTGCTTGGTTTTGTGCATCTCATGTGACGCTTTCCAATGCAATTTTTTTTCTCTAGAAGCCTCAAACCCTAAGTCCCATGAATCACCAACAATGCAGTCATGGAAAATATAAATTGATTTCTTCTCAATTAAAAAACTGTGGGGCTTTGCATTGTTTTGTGGGCTTTGGATGAATTCTTATATAAATACTCAACGAAATGATTTTCTTTGTATTTATGGATGTTTAGTAACATAAGGTCCATGATTACAAGAAATTCAATGTATGTTTTGATGGTTTCTTTATGGGGTTTGATAATAGAAAATGGATTGGGGTTGCTCCCTCGGATAGAGAATGTCAAATTGGAAGACGAAACGGGCATGATCTTGTTTATAAATTGGCCTTGTTTCCTATGCATGAACATCAGTTTTATTTCTCTCTACTTTATTGAAGTTATCAATGTTGGAAGTCTTCACTAATTAATGGCAATAACAAAAGCTGTTTCTTAAAGTATTATTAGTTTTTAGTCTATGATTTTTTTATTTCGACTTGCTTGGCGTTTAATAGCAAAATTTTGAATTAATTAGGGAGTCAAGGCTTTGAACCATGTCCATATGATGTCAATATAATCAACGTGTAGCTGTTTAGTTTTTTTTTTTTTGTTTTGTTTTTTTTCTTGACCATTAAGGTTCATATTTTATTCCCATCCAACCACAACATAAACGAGAAAAGGAAATTGATGACCTGCCCTTTTTATAAATTTCCCAGGGAACTTATATTATTAATATGTAAGTTTTCTAATTTATATTGAGCTCTATTTTATGGGACTATATACGATGAGACAATTTATATTTGATACAAGAAGGTCACAATTAATGACAACGTTCGATGTGAAATCTGATAGCTTGGATGTATCATAAAGTTTGAAAAAACTTCTTTTTAAGTTTGAGCTTAGTCAATGGAATAACTATAACTATCCAATTTCACACAAAATAGTCAAGATTAATTGTAACCACCTTGTACCAAAGGTAAATAGTCTCATTGTATACTTTTCCCCATTTTATATAGGGTGAGGTTTGCATGAGGTTTAAGCAATAATATTAAAGTGGACTTCCAAACTTTGTCAGGCGATGAAATTTTGGTGTTAAAATTTTTTAAGATGGTGTGAGATTTTATTTTATCTCCAATTATGAAATTTTAAACTTAAAAAGTGGTTCAGAACAGGCAGATCTATAAACATAAAAATATTGAAAATGGACAATCTAGATAATGTATTGCAATAATACTGGTTTTAGTACTAGAAATCTCTTTTTTACCTCCATATCTATACATCTCGATTTCGAGATGATAATTAGATATTTTTCAACATCAAAACAACTTTTAGCCGCAGGATTCCAGAGGTGTACATTAAAATTATTCAACATTGTACATGAGAAAATAGCGGTGGAAGGGTAAGTATTTCATCTCCAATTTGTATTTAGTAAGTTTCCTTTTCTCTTAGGTAAATCGGCATCTTCTTTTTACTCTTACAACCGCACTCACCTTCATGGCATTTATGGCTTCTCATCTGTCCACCCCAAATCCATGTATGTGAGCAACACACTTTTCAATTGAGGTTTCGTACGTCTTTTACCTCACTTTCTGTTCTTGCCTACGTTACTTGTGGAAATGAACATCAT